AACAACAACAACAACAAAAAAACAACAACAACCAAAAACACCCCGAAACAAAAGACAACCCCCCCCCAAAAAAAACAACAACAAACAAACACAAAAACAACAACAACAACAACAACAACAAAAGGAAAGATACTTGTTATTACCCGGATGATTCCCCACCGCCCACTAAAATGTCCAAATCACCCACCAGTGTGCCCAGGTTGACAAGCACTGTTTTAGATTATTTAGGGGGTGGACATTTTTGGTCCCACTCTTCACGGCCAATCCACTCTACGTCAAATATTGTATCTCAACACAATCACGAAGAAAGAGATAGTCGTAAAGCTGCTTTCTCACTTGGGAATCGAACCCAAGGTTCTTGTCTGCAAAGCAAGGAGGTGGGTGCTTGGCAGGTGCTCTGGTGTGGTTTGCTCTCCTATAAAAAATCTATCTTCTATACATCTCCCCTCTTTCTATTTTGTGTTTGTTATTCTCTAGTAACATTGCTAATCTTCGGCACTTATATGACCTTATTGTGTCGCAAGTGCCGTAAAACTCTTACTAAAACTGAAAGCAAGGAGCCTCTACATTACTCCACGGGAATGGTCACACCAGATATTGCGCATTTGAAACTCAAACATTGCATAAAACTATGATGTGGTGGTATCAATTGGTTACAGAATTTTCTTAGTACAGAATAGGTCACTGATTGGTTCAAAAATTCTAGGGGAGGCAGAAAAAAGTCAGAGACCACTTTTCATCATCATTGCCTTTCTCATTCTGGATCGGGGTATATGCCACACACAGCTACAAACACTTTCCACCTTTCCCTATCCTGGGCTAGTCGCTTGTTGTCACTCCATTTCTCCCACTTTTCTGTACATCCTTTTCCGTGACTCTTCTCCAGGTTCCACGTGGTCTTCCCCTTGATTTTTTACCCTGTAGGTTCTAATCTAACACTTTCCTTGATATGCAGCTGTTTGACTTCCTTAAAGGATGTCCAATCCATCGCCAACTCCTTCTTCCCACCTCATCTCTGACAGGGCTCCGTCTCGCTCTTCTTAATACTTTCTCATTGGTGATCCTGTTTGTCCATCTGTTCCTCAGTAGCTTCCTCAGGCATTAGTTCAGGAAAACCTGGATGCTCTTTATGCACGTCTGAGATGCGTTCCACGTCTCACATCCAATTTTGCTGTTATTGTATTATGTTGTTGTTGCTGTTGTTGTTGTTGTTGTTGTTGTTGTTGTTGTTGTTGTTGCTGTAGCGGTTATTGTTATTATCGTTGTTGAGTAGGAATTCACTGACAGAAGAGGCAAAGACAGCTTCTTTATGCTTTGGTATGCAAGGACTACAAACGATCTGATTCTCAAAATACAGAGTATATTCATCCACAGTTTCTGGGCGGGTGCTCGGAGACTGTCATTAGTTGGTCCTCCTCTTTCTCTACTGTCTTTACTCTCTGTGTGTTGCTTTTAGCTCTCTGTCTTGCTCCTTCCTTGAACTGCATTTTGCCTGTTATTGTGTCAATGGTAGGTCCTCTTTCCCTTTGTTGCTTCTGCCAAACCTATCTTGCTTTTCTCTGTGTCGATGATAGGTCCTATACATATTATTGCATGAGAAGAAAGGAAGTAGTAAGAAAGGTTTTGAAAATGGGTATTCTAATGTAAAGCGCATTGCGCTACTTTTTTTGGAAATGCGCTATATAAATGTTATATTATTATTAATATCACCATCATCATTATTAATATAATAATAA